ATCTTGTCAAGAACTTGTATTTCTTATTTAGCATTAAGTATGGGCAAATTGACTCCACTGTATGACAGCTGCTGATGATGTTACTAATCAAAATTGGCTTAATGCCAAGTGCCCAGCCCACATAACTTGAAAACACTGATGAATTTTAGTGTGTTAGCATAGGGTTTTAACTTTTTTCAAGTATGCATGCTAGTAGTATTTTACAACAGCAGAACAGAAGATATATCATTCTTATTGTTGAAATATCTTTGTTGTGGAAGTATTTTTGTTGTGATCGTTTGCTGCTCATTCAAGATATTTTATTTGATGCTTGTAAGGATGTACTCTGGAAACATTAGATATTCACAGGATTTCATGTTTGATGTTAGTATAGCCAAAAGACAACATAAACCAATATCATTTGATATTTTCCTCCCATTCTTTCTCATTTATTTTCTTATTGTTCTACGCATCTACAGAGAAATCAAAATGAAGAAGAGAAGAGGTGAAAATAACTTGAAGCTGCAAGTTCTGGGCGACAAACTGCTGTGGTTCAAGAAAGAAATGGATCCAAGTATAGAGGTGGTCACTCCTAAGGATGTTTTGAATTTGATACAAAAGTAAGTGCAGTATCTTGTAATGCGGGAATGTTATAGAAGTGAAAGTATTATATATGTATATTTCTTTTTTTCTTCTTTTCTATTCATTTTTAATGCTTCTCTGAAAAATAGTACTCATGATTTCCTACTTTTTTCTTTACTTTTTTATTCATTTCTCTTTTTTTCTTCTTCTTTTTTTCTTTTTTTTTTCTCTTACACTTGCAAACCAACTTTTTTATTTGTTTCTAGGATTTACTCCAAGAAAACCTGCTAAATATTATGGTTGTAGAATGTTATGGTTTCAGAAATTTGTTCAACATGTAATACTTTATCGTCTGACTTTCCCTTAATTATACATTTAGCATACAATGAAGGAAAATCCTACACATTACACAAGTTTAGTGGAAAGTTTTCAGTCAGTTTACATTCCCTCTTCGGGTCAGAAAATGAAATAAAGGTCAATTTCAAATCAACATGTTTGAATTAATATAGGGTTTTGCCAGCAATGGCACTGCTCAGTGATAGTGCTGGCTTTGCAATATCAAGGTCCTTGGTTGATGCCCAGTTGGACCTGCCCTCTCAGTCGACTCATTTGTGATACTGGCTATGTGCAGCACAGTTGAAGTCGAGTGGAAATGGACTGATCACCTTATTATCATGCAACTTACTGCCTTTTTTCTTTTTCCATTATGTTTCTTTGGCAATAGTCATATTTCATATCTGCCTGGGTCACTCTTTAATTAATAACTAAGAGGCTGATTGGTCAATATCTGTTTGTTACACTATTTCTGTATCCACATATTGTGTTGAATGTTTATAATCAGACTAGCTCATATATTTATTTCAGAAGCCTAAAGATTTAAACAATTTTAAAGTCTGACCATTTAAAATTTTATACGTTTTTACCTTCCTTATGCTTATGGATGTTTATAGAGCTTTTCAAAGTATATATATAATATATGTGCAGTTTATAGTCTGCTGCCTATTGAGGTTTGCATTATCTGTGTCTTTTCAGTTTCCATTTGCCTCCCCCCCCCCCCCTGCAAAAACAAAAACAAAAAGGCATTCTTTATTTATTTATTTATTTTATCCCCCCCCCCCCTAATCCTTTCAAAAATGTCAATCTGTGTGCATAGGTTTGCTTCATACGGTCTGCCTAGCACATGATTACACTTGCAAATCCATAATTCCAGATACATTGACCGCAACATGGAAGAACTGGAACAGATCAACTTAAAGCAGAGTATCGGGAAAAGAAGCAAAAACCAGCATGCCAGCCGCGAGTCCACGATAAAGATTGTGCATGAGCAAGAGACAGCGCTGTTCACGGACAATGGCTTTGGTAAGAATTTTAGTCCTGGAAATATACTGAGAGAGGCCCTTATTCATATATATTATCTTTGTAACATGTGTTATATGAAAGTATAAGAAGTTGGGGAGGGAGGAAGAGAACCAGATAGGCAAGATAGCTATACAAGGACACACAAAATTAGCTAGACACATACATGCTGCACACATGCACCCACCCATCCCACTCCCACACCCACACCCACACCACCCACACCCACCCCACACCCCCACACACCCACACACCCACACCTTCTCCCCCCACAACACACGAGAGAAAAAGAGAGTGCTAATGAGACAGACAGACAGACAGGTAGGGAAAGCAGGCAGGCGAGAGGTGGTGTAAAATTAAGGACAACTTAATTACGAACTCAATCCTTGTGCTCATCTGTCCCTCTCCACCCACCAGAAACAGTTGACTTCTTCTGCCCAAAGAACTTGCAAACTTTCAAGTCCTGGTCAGGAGAGCTGCGGTTCCTATCAAACCTCAAGCTGCGAAAGTACAAGAGAAAAGACCTCGAAGATAATTTAACGAGCAGACTTGAGCCGGAGTCTTCCTCTGCTGCACCAACAGAAGAGACCATGGACGAAGACACAGAAGGGTTAGATGAGGATAGCGATGACGATGGTGATACTGACAATAAGGATGGGGAGAAAGACGATGATATGGAAGGTTAAAACTGTAATACTGAAGGGTCAGTATAAATAAACTGAAAAGAGATGTGTGTTTTCTTTTTCAAATATTTTTGTGCATTTTTTATTTTGAGTTCCAGAGTGAGAGAAATGTACTGGCAGTTGATGGCTATAGATGTCCTTATTTTGACAATGTAATTTATTAGTGTGGAGGGTTGCTTTGGAATCTTAACTACATTTTTTTTCACCTCTGAATAAATTTAACTATTATTAAGCATATATGAAAATCATCAACTGCACATATAAAAGTGTTCTTATAATATGTGTGGGGATAGTTTTTGTAATCGGCACTTACAGGTCATGGAGAACATAATTTTTCACAAGCGTCTTGTCTTTACTTACTCTTACGTAAATTAACTAAAGAGAAAGATTTTCCATTGAAGAAAGCAATGTAACAAAGACAAAAATTACTTTTAATATAGGTAAATCATACAAAACCATTCAAGAACTTACATTTATTTACAAAATATATACTTTCATAATGTTACACAATTTCCTCATGTCTACTGACTACATTTTACAGTAGAAATACTTAAAAGTTCACTCCAACACCAAACCCATACAAATCCTGCATTTACAATACATTACAAGGCACTTGGTTCTCCTTAGCTGAAAAGGGTTAAATATAAGCAGTTATCAGGTTTCTCTCTCACACACTCTTTCTCTCTCTTGCTCTCTGAAGAATGATTGATAATGATATAGATAGATAGATGCATGGAGATAGGAGATAGGTTGCCGAAGACAAGATAATCTATTAATGAAGTGCAAGTCTCAGCAGATATCTAATTGGTCCCATGTGAAGTTACATGAATTATAACTTATTAAAGGAACCCCATCTATAATTCCTTTAACAAATATCTAGCAGTTTCTTCTACATAAAAAAAAAAACATGATATATGAAAACCAAATTATAATTTTAGTATCTAACAAAATTCCACAAAAGTATATCTTGATACCACTACCCAAAGATTATATTTTTTTTTTTTTTCAAATACTAATAATTTTCTTTATGTCCACAGTTTCTACACATTGTATACATGACAAGACTTGCACATTTTGTATCAAGGAAAGAAAAAAAAAAAAAATCCAAACCACAAAAAATGCTGTACTAGACAACCATTTCCCGTTAATAATTACAACCCACAAACACTTCCCTATTTGATAAGGATTCAAATAAATAAAACGGTAAAGGGTATAAGGCTTAGGATATATTGGCTGGAGACAAAATGGTAATGAAGTGGAAGACATTAGCAAATACCAACAAATTTATATTTCAACAAATAACTTTAACCTCCATGGATGAAATATAAAAGATAACCTAAGGAGAACTCTCTAATTATTAAATAAGTCCACTAAAGACTCAGTATCTGACAACCAAGGAAATACTATTCCTTATCAGTCTTGAAAAAGCATTTGAAGTTGTTGTGAGAGATTGTTCCTGAGCATAAATATACATAATGCTAGAATCTGAAGACTGTCTTCTTTGTGGGTGAAATAACTTCCTCTTCTTTGCACTGTGAGCAGGTTAGTAGGTAAGAAGCTAAATTTAGGCCGTACAAGTATTCTATAATTAGCTTCTGCAATTTTATAATCATATTGTTATTCTATGTGTAGCTTTTCTCATACCTTGAGGGATTTTCTGTTTTAAAGGTTATGTAAACTTGACGCATAATTGAAGTGAGTGCATATGTTCTCTTTATATAGGTCCGCCTGTCCATGTATCTCTTATGATATTAAAACTGTTTGACAACCACAGCTAAAAATCCTTTCTGCTTCTCATAAACTGAATGAATGCACACTAGATCATTTAAATTCCTTATAATCTTCAGAACTTGATTTTGAAGAATTCACTTAGGTGTTAGCAGACTTCTGTATACTCTAGCATCCAACACAATTACACAACCTTATGTAGGATTATTATGCATTATAATCAACACCCAGCAACATACAACTTATTTTATCAATACAGATATATAATCAATAACTCGTTCTCTTTGACTGTATATGTACATATGAAAAAAAAAACTTATTTCTCATTTTATAAAGCCATTTTTCACAAAACCTCTAATAGATTTCATGCAATATGAAAAATATTAAGACTTCATAAAATTGTATTTTCAAAACATTCAGTATGATTTTTCTTATTTACAGCCACCTTTACTGGATTACAGTAAATATTAAGTAATTTTTTAAACAAAAAAGGCAGCAAATTTTAAAACATTATTGTTCTTGTTTCTTCTTTCATAAATTCAATAAAAGAAAACTACATACAAAACTTCAAACTTCGCACCGATCTTCCTTTTGCACATTAACAAGCTTATCCAGCTTGAGCTATGGTTCCTGGAAGCTCATATTTACCACAAAAAAGTAGAAATTCCAACCCTTCTTTACTCAGTATATTTTCAAAAATATTTCAACTTTTTTAATTTGCTTAAATAAAATGAAATAAAATCATAATAAAACAAAACTATTTCCACTACTATCAAAAGACCCTGTAGTCTACCCCAAGACAACCATGACATACAATAATACTGCACTGCTCTGTAATGTCATTTGCAAGATTGCACATTTTTTTCACCAATATAGTTACAATAAGATTTAAACATTTAATATGTACAAGCTATCCCATTATTGGCACCTTCAGCCAGACATCACAGGTATCATAACAGCCTTAAAAGACTAATGGTTTTATAAGGAAAAAAGGATGTCCATGTTATTTGTCACAAGAACCCCATAAACTGTTGTGATCTGTGTCTTGTAATATGAAAAAGAAAATGTGGTTTCCCAATAATTTTGTGTGATGTATAAGTATCTTAACTTCTTTCTTAAACTATGTTCTGTTGGTTATACATTATGTGTATGTGTGTGTGTGTGTGTGTGTGTGTGTGTGTGTGGTTGTGTGTGGTGTGTGTGGTGTGTGTGTGTGTGTGGTGTGGTGTGTGGTGTGTGTTGTGTGTGTGTGTGGTGTGTGTTGTGTGTGTGTGTGGTGTGTGTGTTGTGTGTGTGTGTGTGTGTGTGTGTGTGTGTGTGTGTGTGTGTGTGTGTGTGTGTGTGTGTGGTGTGTGTGTGAGAGAGAGAGAGAGAGAGAGAAGGAGAGAGAGAGAGAGAGAGAGAATAAACAGAAAAACAATAGAGAAAAAGAAAGTGAAATCGTGGCCATGTACAAAGATATATATGCCACATACAAAACAAGATAAATCCACCAAATAAGCCACACGATACACTCAAAATTAATATTCAGGGAGGCCTAAATCTTAACAGAAAAGCATTTCAGTTTTTCTCTATTCTTGTGAAGGCTGAGAAGCAAACCCACAGCTTCTACAGGATCTAAAATTCCAACTTTAAATATAATATTTTCCGACTACCTCCTCCCCCTCCAAAAAAATTACAAACACTAAAGATAGTTTCAAGTGAATTTTCTCCTAATGTATTTTTCAACTGGCAGTCTTAATGGTGATAATCCTCAATAAGTAACAAGAAAACAATGAAGGCAAGAGTAATGCTAAAATAATTCAAAAATAATTCGAAAAAAATATATTTGGATACATTCAGAGCACCTTCTCTTCACCGGAAAAGAATAAATAAGAAAACAGGACATTTATGACAATCTTGAGACTTATCTTAATATTTTCTGCCAAAAAAAAAAGAGTGATGCTTATCATAATACCAACAACATACTGATGAATAATAAATAAAAAATAATAATAGTAATAATACCATTCACAAAACAGGCTCTCTTAAATACCTCTGCAAAAACACAATGCTCTTCTATAACAATTAATATCAATAATAATAAAAAAAAAAGAAAAAAATTTAAAAATAATAATAAAATAATGGAATTAATTGGAAATGATGTACAGTACTTTTAGAAAAAACATTATCATAACAATATCTTAAAATCTATAAATATAGTAACAACAGCACTATAAAACAGTCCTGCATTAACCTATTGGTGCTGAGTACATGAACTGTCCACTGTAGTCTTGTTTTGCCTATTTTGTGTATATATAAGTGGTTTCATGAGCACTTAGCTTGCAAGGAGTCAATCACTACGCCTGCCTGGTTGGTCTGGTTTACCCCATTTCTTGGATATTCAATTTTCTAATTTCTAATAATTATTGTTCTTTACATTACTATTATCATTATCATCATTGATATTATCATTATCTAACCCCTTAGTGATGGGCATGCCTATAGCCATCATGACGTATGACATGTATACATGTCCTAACTCACTCTAGCAATGGAGCAGATGGGCCAGCTGTACAGCACACGTCTGGCCAGAAAGGCTATACTGTTGCATAATTATTACGCCACAGAAAATTCTGGCCCCATCATAAGAGGGTTAACATTTCTAACAATACCTGTAGTTATAGGAATATACACTTTTCAAAAAAAGGAATACAGTTAATAAGTAAGATCAGATATGCCTAGTAATTGACTCCTACATGACTAAACACATGGAGGCATCTACACATGAAAAAAAAATACTAATAAAAAAATAAAATCAAAGTGGACAGGGTATGTGTACATGTTACCTTGGCATCAACAGGTCAACATTCACCATTATTGATGTTCTGGAATCAAATAAAATTCCTAATATCAAAACTAGAAATCACCGAGTCAATTCTTATCTTGTAACCTTGAAAGCTACAGAAAAATATCACATACAACATGGTCTTCATAATCTCTCATAATTTCTTCATACTCACACAAGCAGCCATCATATTCAATTCATCTGGCCAGCAATTTGCACTTTGGCATCAATATTCAATTGTATTCTCTGATGCAACAGTCAATTAAGGGGACATATTATTTGTTAAATTTAAATATTTTGAAAGTCTGTTCAGGAAAAGATTTATAGTACATAATAAAAGTGGAGAGAGACATAACAATAACAACAGTAATAAATAAATGCACTTCTAATAATGCAAAATTTTAGAAAAAAAAATGTTGCAATGAACATCCATAAAGTATCTTTTCCCCAAACATACAATTTGTTTGAATCAACCTCTTGAACACCAAAGT